AATAATATTTAAAAATACTAATTATTTACTTTGATGTAGCACCACCATAAGCATAACTTTTTAATTTAATATTAAGTGATTCAGTAAGATACTCATTCCAAATTTTACCATTAGAAAAACGGCCTTTATAATTTATAATTGATGGCCATGTTTCATTTGTTAACTTATAACAATTTCCATTATCTTTTAGAAATAAAAATTAATAAATATTTATAAGTAAAATTATCAAATTAATTATAATAACATGTACCAGAAAATGAATCTCCAAAAGAAATATAATTAGTAAATTTTTTATTAAAATTGGAATTTATAATATTTTTTGTAGAGTTAATAATTTTATATATTGGAATATTAATTTTTAATTTATACATTATAAATAATTTGATAAATATATTTAAAGAATAAAACAAAATAAAATAGTATTTATTTAAATAAAATATTTTATATATCTATTTCAAATAAATTATATTTTTTAGTAATAATAATAGAAAATATAATTTATTATATCAATATTTATTATAATACATTTTCTTGTCTTTATATATTTTATTTTTTCTCTAATGACTATTTGTAAAGGTTACTCTTTTACATCTAAGAATATTTCCATCAACAGTTGACATATCAACATTTTCACAAACATATTTAACATTAATATTTTCTTCAGTCCATTGTACAAGAACATGTTTATGTCCAATCACAAGTGTTTTTGGATTATGAGTCCATACACCATCTACAAGTTCTTCTTCATCTTCTTCATCCACCTCATCTTCTTCATCTACTTCAATATGTTTTTTATGTTTTACATTTTTATTTTGTACAACTCTAGATTTACTAAATTTATTATCATTTTCTTTATCATCATCATCAATATTTGATCTAGATGAGATTCTATTATTCTGTACAGATTTTGGTTTTTTACTAGGTGTTTTTCCGATATTCTTTTCCAAAGTTTTCCATTCGTCTTGATGTGCTTTGGATATATGGTTTTTTGCGATCAATTCATTGAGAGGTAAACTAAATTCTTTTGTACAATAATTACATTTTGCTTTATTAGTTTCCTCATTAGTTGTAAAACATTCTAAAATAGTAGTAGGATTTTGACCAGAAACGCTTTGTGTTTCATTATCACTTTCTTCCATTTTTAAAAAGGAAAATTATTAATAACTTTGCATTATATATAAAATTTTAAATAAAATATATTTTTTATTACTAATGAAAAAAAATAAAATAAAATTAATTAAACATATTAATAATTTAAAAACAAATATAAATATAATAAAATTTAAACTTGATCAAACTACCCTTCAATCGTCGTGAAGGGTCAAACGTGGGTCATTCGTTTAATGTTGTTGTATGAAAAAAAATTCATATATAAAATTTATTTAAAATTTTATATCAAATCGTTTAAATCTTTTCTATCGTCAAGGAAAGGAGAAAAAATCATTTAAAAAAAAAGAAAAAAAATGAATGTACAAATTTAATCTATCACCACTATTCACATTATTCATATCGTTATCATTATCGCATATTATTTTTTTTATCATTTATTATTTTATTTCGCATATATTATTTTTAACAAAATCAAACAAGTATTTTTCAGTGAGAATGTGTTATTTTGTTGTAATGTTTACAATTATGATTTTATGAAAGTATACTTTCAATAAAAAATTATGAAATAA